CAGATTTTACGGTACAGTGTTTTCCATACCAAAGTTTACTCAGGGATTTTTCTCAAAAAAAAAATGCTAGAGGAGCACTGCAATTCAGCGGCACCAAATTGGGGAAATAGGGTTCTCCCTACCAGGGTGTGGAGTTTTTGATAATTCTACGTTAAAATGAAGCATTCTATAGCCATGGGGCCAAAATTACTATCAGACAGGTCACAGTTGAATAATGGCCACATGTGATCCCTGGTCATTCAGAATTTTATGGTTGCCAGAGGAACTGCTCCCCAGGGTAAGAGGGCGCATGGCCATGGCATGAGGGCGCTGCGCCCCTGTTCCCTTGTTTAAAAAAATCCCTGATACTCACATCAGAAGCTCAACTAATCTCCTGCAGACACCGCTATCAATAACTGCTTGAATCTTTTCATTAGGACCATCAGATAAATATGACAGTGCCCAGCATGCATCTGCTAACACATCAGCATCATTACTAAAGAGAAGTCGGGATAACACAGGTAGACATGGAGAGACTTTAGTGAAATCGGGCGGTGGATTTTTTCCTCTACAAAGGTTGGACAATGCCCACACAGCATTCCTGGTCATGGACAATCTGTTTGATTTGGTGAGAAGTTGAAGTAATGGTACTAGAATACCACAATCCAGTACGTAATCTCGACAGTCAGGACTGTCACCAGCTATGTTTCCTAGTGCCCAGACAGCCTACAAGAGAACAGGTAAAACAACATAGAGTGTCAGCAATATTTTAACAGTTTGACATTTACATAACATTTTGTTAATTGATTGATTTATAGAATCAGACTAATCAATTGATTTTAGATCATTGTTGTGAAGGAGCAGATTTCATGAATACTCACATTAGGAAATAAAATTCTTCAAGCATGTTACTATAAAAAATGTTGTAAAGTAACTAAGACATTTTGTCATCTCCATTCAATAGTTTTGGCCAGAAGCAAGTAAAACATTGCAAGTTTGAAAATTAATTCAGTTGCCATGTATGTTACTAATAAAGTTAACACCAGTCCGGTTGCAAACAAGTGACACTCCCTGTGATCTAGCCTGACAAGGTCACGTGAGTTGCGCCCTCCGTGGCACTCTAAACCCAACACACGCCTGACAGAACAATATAGTTTTTCACTTCCCTCGATGATATTTTGTCGGTACCAATCAAACTGCAGGAATGTCAGAAAGGGATAACCATCAAAGAGCAACCATTCAGGGCAGAGTTTATTTGTTTGTTGACATAATGTGTGATAAGGTGCTGGCAAATTTTCGCTCAATGTTTATTATCTTGTTGAAAAACAGTCTGTGATTTTTGCAGACAATGCAAACACGGTTTTGATTGACTGTGTTACCATGACCATCAAAATGAATATTCATTGCAAGAAGGCGTGAACTTTGCGAATCCGCAGTATTAATCTTGCCGATGAGACATACACTATTCTGTCAGGAGTTAGTGAGGTCTGATGCCGTTCGGCCAGCGAGGGCGCTAACTCATGCCTACATGTTAGGCTACCTATGACCAGGGTAAACAAAAAGACACTTGGATCATAAAGTTAGCAATGAGGGTGAATGGAAAGCAGTACGACTGAGCTCCTACCTGTTCTTGTACATCTTCATGATATTCAGCACCTAGTAACAGAATAAAGATTGGTACTGCTCCAGCCTCTATTACTACTCTTGTCTGCAATGTGGTTCCTGATGCAATGTTAGTTAGTGCCCAGGCTGCTTCAAACTACCAAGTAAACACATACATCAATGTTAATATTCACATCACCAGGCTTATACAGTCGCACACCTCCCCAAGAGTCAGCAATCTAACTCAACTTTGATCCCTACAAAATCAGTCATGTTAGAGAACACACTACTGTTCACTCGTATACCTTAAAAAAAGGAACCTGCAACTCCTCTCAGAGAAGAAAGAAAATCCAACTACCTATGTGAAAGGTGGGTTATAATCTCCAGTACAGTTGATTCAATTAATACATACTGTAAAATACTTTATTTTAGTTTGAAGGAATGATTCACTGAAAATAAAATCCAGCGAATACAACTTTTTCCCTATATTTTACATTCAACTTGTCAAAAACCAGTGAAAATAAATTCCATACAAAACACTCATTATTAGTTCCAGCTAAAATAAAGTATTTCACAGTATAATGGTAGACTTAACATCTGAAACAATTTTAGTTGTTACCTTTTTATGCTTTTTTTTTATGTATGATAAGTTATGATGTACTAATATCAACATTTGTAATAGTGTTCTGGGTGGTCTAGGCTATATTGGTTCCAAATATATGATTACAAATTCACTTGTTAAAATAATACAAAGTTCACCAGTTTTGTTTCCTTGTAGAGAAACTGTTCCTTTTCCTGTTTTAATAGCGGAATAAATACTGTTACCTTCGCTCAATTTTTCATTTGTATCAATAAATGGACTGGGGTATTCAGGTAGTTTTGATAAAATGTAATTTTTCTGATTATACATGTATTCTAACCACAAAGTTCATTTTGTGTAACCCCACTCTAGCACTTTAAGGCGTTAATTAAGTAAGGGATAATAAATAAGTTTATATGAAAGAAATGCCCACAGTAGTATGTCCCTGTTTTCTAAGGTTTATGGTTCACCTTATAAGGTCAACTTTTAAAGTTACTTCCAATGAGAGTTTAGCAACTGGCTTAATCAAATTTTCAGATCAAAATCCCTGTCAGGCTATATAAGCCAAGTTGTATTTCATATCACTGCACTATACATAACACTGTAATGTTCCAGACAGTGTGTTCATTACTGTCACAACGTTAGAAGATTTCCTGCATACAACTACGTTCATACATTCACCAGTCATCTTTGAGTTATTCTAACCTTTCTCCCCCCCAACACACGATTAATCATGAAAGGGAAATGGAATCACCTGTAACGAACAGTTGCCTTGCCTTTGTAAGAATTCAACAAACCTAGGTACAACACTGCACTGTATTACTTCATCAATTGGTGGATTTGGTTCTAAAATATGAACAATATGAAAAAATATTATTGGTATTGTATGTGGTGAACATAGGTGTAAGGTAGAATGATCTGAAAACTGATATAGGATGTATGTGTTTGAGTACTGTAGTTGGAGAACAAAAGAACCACTTTAGAAACATCAGCCGTGTAATACGAGGTTATCGCAACAATACCACAAGAAAGAACATTGGTTGAAATATTTAAAAATCATGAAAACAAAAATTATTATTTGTACGCAGTAAAAACATTTCCACCATCATATACACATGTTTGTGCTGCACAATTCATAGCAGTTTGTGATTTCAAAACATGGCAGTTGACAGTACTTCAGACAAAGGAACCATACAAGTCTGTAACAAGAACATTAATATGCATGCCCACAGTACAGGTCAGTGGGGAGGCAGACTAACGTGACAATCTATTGACATCCTTAAAATAGATGACAAGTCTTTCTACGTGTACAGTAATTACTGAGAGGGGTGACACTTGTGACTGTTGAGAACTATGTATCCTCACCTCTAGATAAAAGTTTTCTAAATCTCTGTGTGGCATTCAATTGTTGTTCTATATCTTCACTGTAAACAGCTTGCAGCATATCTTGTGTTACACATCCCTGCAATAGAGACAAAAATTTACATTTTTATTCCATTTTTCTGTCCTCCTAATTCTTTAGTTCCTATATTAGCGAAAAAAAAATAGGCAAGACTTGTTGTGACCATCTATTGTTATTTTTATAGACTATTTTAAAGAAAATTATGCAGAACATATATCCCAAAATTGTTAATTTGCTCACCTATTCTAATCAATAGACTATTGTACAAAATAAACTGAACAATGTAGCCTAGGTATTAGCAGTGTGCTCTCTGGATTTCTGTGAGTGTTAGTAAATGTGATAATTCAGAACAGAAAACAGATGGAAAACATTACATACATATATACAATGTGCATTTTTACTTATTTATTTTAACATTTACTTATGACGGAGAAAGCACAGATCAGACAAAACACAGTTCTAAAGTTTTTTTTATAGAGCATGTACAAAATAGATGTTATTTTTGTGCAAGTTGAAATATTGTCAATCATGCAAGCAACATTCATTTCCAACTCATGGGTTGACCTATAGATGACCCATGACCTTATCTGTGATATATGGCATGTAACGTATCATTAGCTGGCTCTGAAGGAATCATGCACGTAGTCAACTAGCAAAAACACATCAATCAACATCGCCCAAAAGCTGTTGAAGAAGTTTGTCTGAAAGTTATTAGACAACAAATGAAATGAAATATGTTTGCTTTCTACTTTCGTTATAATGACCCACATTCATAGCTCACTTAATAAACAGTGGCACACAAGTAAAATATGTGTCGTTGAAAAAAAATAATTAAAAAAAGACTTTGTTGGGATTTAACTATAACTCACATTACCATATTTGCTACATTAGTAGAGCTTGTATTTATGTACATGAGAGGTGAGTCTATACTGAAAACAAGTTGTATTTTAATGATGCAATAAATGCAATGTATGTGCACTTTCTTAGCGATGAGTTTTTATCAAACAAATGAAATGACCTTCAGGGGACTATACAAATTACTTGTTTCTCACAATAACTTTAAGTTACAAATGACGTCAGCCAGGTCATTAAATATTCGGGATGATGTTCTATTCAGACAAACAATATCTGTAATTTTTCAAAGGCAAACACTTTGGTCATCGAGGAAATTGCTTTTGATATCTCCATGATTAGTTCAAGCCCTCGTTGCTGTATATACTGTCTGATTTAGGCTAACTTCTGTCTTTTAATATTATCATGCTGGGTATAAGATCATGACTGCTATGAGGCCACAGCT